TAACAATAACTCTTGTAAAACTTCGAATTTTGCAAAATTGCTCAAATTATATAATTTTTTGTGATTGTAAACCGAATAGAGTGATTTGTGGGACAAAATCTTGACCGTTCAACTTTGGGTGGCCCACGGTCACAAAAAAGGAACATTAGTACTTAGATAGCAATTAATACAACAAAGTTTACCCTTTTAGGTTTGTATATAAATTATCGCAGATTAATTGTTTCTACCGAGAGCCACGAAAATAAATTTAACACAAATAACTTGGGGAAATGCTAAGCTACAAAATCGGTGCATTGATTCATGCTACTTCTGGATGCTTTTGCGGAAAAATTTTGACATAATAAAAAGATTGAATCAGCCAAAATTTTGCCAGAGGTGTAATTTTTAAGTGCCTTTGAAAAGTAAATACTAAAAGCATATATAAACACGGAGAAAACAAAATATATTTTATGAAAAAATTGTCAAAATGTTTATATAGAATTTTAATTAAAGAAAAGGGGCAAAAGTCGCATGCTTTTTAAGAAAAGTTTCAAAATAAGCCTATTTTTAAAAAGTCGGTGTCAGAGGGCATCGATCTCCAAAGAGTGTCAATTTGACCCTTTAGTCGCACAACGGTAACACTGGCCACCAGCGTGCAAAATTGCATGATGATCGGTTGAGCAGTTAAAGCGTGAAGCATAACAAACAAACAAACTCACTTTAGCATTTATAATATTAAGCCCTGTATGCAGCTCTCAAGAAAACGGTCAAGAAAAAATTGCCATTATTTCGTGTGTGTGTCCAAGGAGTTTTGACATTTTTCATACTTCACAGCCTGTTGCCTCACTCTTTCCTCAAGAAATAATGGCACGGGCATATATTTCTGTTGCAAACCTGGGTTGCCTTGCGCTCTTTTTTCACAAAAAACTTTAGAAAACCGTAGTAGAAATCATAGTAAATTTCTTAAGAACTGCGTACTGCCTTAAGGAAATTTGACTCAAGAAAATTTCTTAGCCATTTCTTGTACGTCATTTTATATGGATTTTTTGCTTTTCTTGAGAGCTGCATACAGGCCTTTAGTAAGGATGGGCATCAATCGAAAAAGAAATCTTTAATTTGAGCGTATGGTATTTCTTTTAGGTGTTTTAAGAAGGTTGATACCTGTTTCAAAAGTCAATTTTAACTTCATTCATCACTTAATTGAAATATGTATCACACTGTCGGACTAAAAAGATTTAAGAAAATTTCAGTTCAGTAGTACATTCAATAGTAAATAATTATATGTGCATAAGGAGTTATTCGGCTTCCGATTGCTGCAGTGTCATAAATTCTCAACAAAGAAGTACACTAACAACTGGGTGTAAAAATCTTAAATATTTAGAAGCTATTTCTATACTAAAAACCGATCTATTATTTTTCTATATTATATCACGGCCCATAATATCCCGAGTTCGGTAAGATAACGGAAAAGAATTTTCGTGTCATGAAATCTTGTTAGGAGTAGATATTACGAATCCTCAGAGGAATTCAAGTCCTGATTTTAAGCTAGATACTCATAAAGTGGGTGTTTCTTTCCTTGAATAACGATTTTGTTGTTTGCATTGTGTAAATAAATAAATAAATAAATAATAACAGCGATTTTCCGCTGAAAAGTCAAAATATCTTTGGTCGTATTGCCCGAAAAAATAATCAATCTACTTTTGGATATTCATTTTTCTAGAAGTAAAAAGATTTTATATATTTTCCAAAGCTATACGTGCATAAGACATTCCTTTCGCCAAAGGTCGGTTTGCCATGGAAATATAATGAGCCTCCAATATTTATGGTAGGCATCTGTATCAACTATATCGTAATTTTTTCATCACTGAAAATATCGTTTTTCAACTCTTTTTACAAAATTAATATTTTTTGTTAAATACCATAAGCGTATTTTCGTGCTATAGATTGAGCTGTGGCTTAGCGATTTATTTATTTAGCCTATGTACCAAATCCGTATTTATTATTTGTTGTAAACTGTTTCTTGTGACAGATAGACTCAACTATGTATACATTTTACAGCAAATCATGTTGCCCCTAGTAGCTAGACTTTGGATATGCCGTTTGGATCACTCTTTGAGGTTTGTATAGGACCGCTAATCCTATGATTTCCATAGTATATGGAGTTTTTTAAGGTAATTTCTTATTATGTTCTGATGTCTGCTTAACTTTAGCAATTATTAAGCTGCCTTTCATGCCACGAAAATTCTTTACCGTTATCTTTCCGGGCTCTTCTTCAGATAGTTTAATGACACGGAATATTATGGGCCGTTATGTAATATGGAACAAGTAATTGTTAAGCAAAAAACAAAACCAACTTCAAAACTCAGGAGTACCGTTAATTTTTTGATGATCAAATGATCGGATCTAAACCAGATTAGTATGGGACCACCTCTGAGACACTACCTTTCCGATGCAAAAAAAACTTCAGTTGACGTGGTCCAAAGTTATGCGGTAACATACATAAAAAAAAAATATTCCTACGAATTGATAACCTTCTCCTTTTTTTCTAGTCGGTCAAAAATAATAAAACGGGTTTTAGCATGAAAATAGCTTCTACATATTTAAGATTTTAACACCCAGTTGTTAGTGTTCTTTTTTGTTGCGAATTTATGACACTGCAGCAATCGGAAGCCGAATAACCCCTTATGCACATATAATTATTTACTATTACTATTTGAATGCTGAAACGGTAGATAAAATTATTCACGAATACCACCCTAATGTATGGAAAATACTTATAAACCAAGGGATATTCTAATTGCATACCACAAAAAACTGTACCCTTATTTAATACAGAGAAATGGGGTAAAAACATGGAGCACATATAATTCTTTTACTAAGGTGTACATACAGTGTAATTATGTATGTATAACGCAGTGTTGCCAGTTTGCGGGATTTCGCACTTTTTTCGGGATTTTATGACTAAAAATGGCGATTGGGATTTTCTGACGAATGACGGGATTTTTGTCATTCCATACCAAGCATTAAAATTTAGTTACTGATAAATAAGAAAAAACGGCTATACTCTGTGGTAAAATAACGCCGTTCTTATGAATTCTATCAGCAGAACTTCTTTCACTTGAAATGAATTTTAATACCAATTTTATGAGTTATCCAAAATTTATTTGGATATCTTGAGTTTCTAGATTCTGAACTTGTTTTAAACGATTAATGCAAAAATATTTTGAGTGATTCTATTACACGATGTTACACGGATCATGAACTTTTTAATTGTCCTAGTACAGGTCGTAGGGCTGGTCAATTAATTCACGAAACTGCGCTTAAAATTTTTCTAACACCTGAAAATACTCAACTTATTTCTAAGAAACCATTTTCGCATCACTTCCGGCACTAAATAACTTTTAGCTCGAATATATTTTAACCCATTTTAAGTTTTTGTATGACTTTGAAAAGAAGGATACTTATACTATTTTAAGAAATAATAAGATTTGTGAGCATATTGCAAATATATGGAGAATTTTAAGGTCAAATCTGAAATTTACACCAATTTTTATTATTTTTTCCACTTCTACATTTTTTTGGCAAAATATAAAAAGAAAAGTCACTAGTTCCGAGTAGAACTAAGTACCTTTATAAAAATTAATAGACAATTTCGGAAGTTCTGATTTTTCTAAAGATTTTTTCAAAATCACTTCGATAATATTTCACAGAAAATTTTAATCAGTTGGATTGGATTCACTTTTAGGTTTCAATAGTTCGTCGAGTTGACCTTCAAATTTTTGGGCAGAACCGCATGCGTTTTGACGTGGAATTGTCCATATAGTAATTCCTATGTATATTGCATATCCATGTATGTTAGAGTGGTCCAAAAAAATAAAGTCGGAGTTTTAATGCCGGCACACCCTAGGATTGATCCATATCGAAAAAATATACCCCTATTTTTTTTATTTTGAAATCAAAAAATATTTAGGGAGTGCTCAAAGCGTTCAAAGTTTTCCATGTATTTTATATGGAGAAAAAACAATTTTTCGTAGAAATGGTATAAAACTCTTGAAAATCAATATTTTTCGACCGGAGAACTATGGCTCTCTTCAGGAGACTAATATCCAATTGTTTATTTAACCATTTTTTATGATTTAAGTTTTTTTATTGGTCCCCCCGCATTGCATTTTCTAAGGGCTTTGGGGGACCTATAAAATATAGTTACTAGGAAAAAATTGTTAAAGAAACAATTGATTATTATTACTGGGAATCTCCTGAAGGTAAGTAAAGTTTTCCGATCGAAAAATATTGATTTTCAAGAATTCTACACTTTTTTTACGAAAAGATGTTTTTTTCTCCATATAAAATACATGGAAAACTTTGAGCGCTTTGAGCACTACCTAAATTATTTTTTATTTCAAAATAAAAAAATATGGGTATATTTTTTTCGGTATATAACAATC